TTTTGGACGGCTTGGGCACCCCCTCCGGAGCAGGCCGAAACGGATTGCTGCACCGCCGATGGTGGACGGACGCGAGCCGGGCAGCCAAGGGGCCACGACGGACAGCTGTCAGCCGACGCGGGCCGGACAACAGGGAGGCCAGGAAACACTGCTGCGCCGCCGACCGATGGTGGACCGACGTGAGCCGGGCAACAGAGAAGCCACGACGGACTCCTGTCTCATCAACGTGAGCCGAAACGAGACGGACAGCAGGGAGGCCAAGAGACACTGCTGCACTGGTGGACCGACGCGAACCGGGCAGCAGGGAGGCCACGACGAACTGCTGTCTCACCAACGGTGAGCCGACGCGGGCCGGGCAGCAGGGAGGCCAGGAAAGACTGCTGCACCGCCGATGGTGGACCGACGCGAGCCGGGCAGCAATAGGCCCACCACAGACTGCTGTCTCACCATCGTGAGCCGACGCGAGCCGGACAGCAGGATGGCCAGATTTTCTCCGCGGCGGGCGAAACAAGGTGCGATTTATTTTCTCCGCGGCAGACGCAACAACTGCGGCAAACGAGAATAATCAATGAGCATGGCCGCATAACCTCTGGCCCCGCGACGATCCGTCCAGCCCAACACTACTGCAGTGCGCTAGCGGCCCGCACGGACAGCCACCACGTGGCGCCCCTCGCGGGAGGCGCAACCTCAAAGGATTGAAACAAGACGGGAGGCAAGAAACAATTTCCCTCAGGCACCGCGCGCCGCGACAGCTCATCCGCCACGCTGGTGGCCACGCAGTCCGGTCGGGACGCGGCGTCGCCGAGGTCGAGCGCGAGCTCCCCAGCAATGCGGTTTCGGGCGAAGCTACCAACCTTTAGCTGGAAAGCCAGCGTCAGGGCGGCCACGTCGTCGCTCCTCACCTCCAGCGCGGCCCTTTCGGTGGTCCAGTGCACCTTCCACAGGCGCAGGGCCGCGCGCAGGTTCGGCGCTGCGGTCGCCTGCTGCGCCTTGGCGCCACCAATCGCGACGCCCAGGAACGTCTCGTCGCGGTGGCTGAGGGGGGCGCCATGCCGTGCGACGACGGCGCCGTCGATCATCAGGTACGCGCCGAGCTCCCAGACGCAAGCGTCGCCCGCGATCCTGACCGCGCGGCCGCTGTTCGCGAAGGCGCTAGCCCGGAAGGTCAGCGACAGCGTGCCTGCCTGGCCTTGCGCTTCAGGAAGGCTGGGATCCAATGCAGCGCTGGCGCGATCTGCTTGACCCAGATGCAGTTGCGCGGCGCCCTGGAGGCGGCGTCGCACACGCAGGATTGGATCGCCCCCCAAAGCTCTGCCAAGAGAGGGCCGCCAAATGCACGCCAAGTTGGCGAAGTGGCCCGCTGGGCCTGCATGCTTCCGAGCCCGCCTCATGAGGGCCGCTTTCGACCGCAGCGCGTCGTCAACCAACGCCTGGAGCTCGGCCAGCTTGGACTCAGGGATGCTCGCGGCCACGTCCAGCGGGCTGATCTGACATGGGCCCCTTATCAAGACCACTCTGCTATCCCGCCAAGCCTTCATGGCCACGGGGCACACCTGGGGCCTCCAGATGAGGGCGACGATGGCAGCCCACCAGCCCCGCCCCCGCTGGCGGCCCCGGATGGCGAGGCACGGGCCATCTACGCGCAGCTCGCCGCGGGCGCGCGGGCGCGCTGGCGCCACTGCTCCGCTCAGCGCGCCCTGGGCGCAGCGGAGGAGGAGGGGGGGTGGCCCCCCCAACCCAGCGGCCCATTGCGAGACCCCTGGGCCGACTGGTTGAAGACCCAGTGGGCGTTCGCGCCGAAACCAATGCAGCGCTGGCGCGCCGGCGCCACTCGGGGCGCAGCGGGACGTGCCAGAACGCGCCCGCGAAGTCCAGTGCGAAGAGCTCCACTCCCTCGCCGCTCTCGAGGTCGGCCACGAGCGCGAGGCAGTCCTCTACGGCATCTGTGACTCTCGGCAGGATGACGCGATGAGTCTTGCGAGTGCGAGCCTAATCTTGTGCATGGCACGCCCGTCTCGGACCTCGGTGAACACGTGGAACTTGTTGGAAATCGCGACGCCCGCGCCGACGGCCGCTGCAAGCTCGTCGCGGGCGGCGTACTTTGCGAGCCAGCCTCGGCTCGCAACTTCCCCGAGCTCCTCTGCGAGGAAGCGGTCGCCGCCACTGTCCACGCAGTGGTGCTCATGCGCCAATTCGCCCTGGAGTTCGTCGAAAACGCACCCGCCTTCGCCGCCGCCGCTGCCGGGCTGCGCCAGGGGGGGGTGGCGCCAGCGCGGCGCGGGGCCACGGCCGTGCCCGCGCCTGCGCTGCCCCGCAGCCACGTCGCGATCTGCGCCCCTGGGTCGCGGGCCGCCGCGGCCCAGCGGCGCAGCAACCTGGCGCGAATGCACGACGTGCGCGGCCCCTGTGCGATCGGCCCCCACTCGCTGCAGATCAGTACGCGCGCCAGCTTGGAGCGGGGCCCCACCGGGGCTGCATCCAGCGAGCTCCCCAGTTGCGCTATCTCGGTCGCCGACCGGCATGGGGCGATCAAGGAAAGAATGGCCTACTCGATGCGCGGGGCGGCATCGAGGGCGGCGGTGAACAAACGGAAAAGCACCTTCCCCGGGCGCAGGTGCCGCGGCAGCCGCGTCGACACTTTCGCGGCGCAACGGAGGCCGCATCCTGGACGCAGAGCTCCCAGGAGGGTGCGGGGGTCGGACTCGGTGGTGGCCCGGCGGCGGCGTGGCGGGGGATCAGGGTCGGTTCCGGGCGCTGAATTGTCGGGTCCCAGGAACAGAGCTCCCAGGAGGGTGCGGGGGTCGGACATGGTGACGGCCTGCCTCTTGGCGCCCAGCAGGGCCCCCCGACGCTGGACCGCGCGCTCGATGCGACCAGGTAGCGAGCCCCCAGCCTCCGGCGAGCTGGCGTCAGCGCCATGGGCCGCCGCTGGGCGCGCAGGCAGCCGGGGCGCAGCGCGCGCCATTGCCTGCGCGACCGCCAAGTTGAACGATGAGACGCCCCAGCGCCGCTTCGCGCACCCGAGGTCAAGGGTGCCCAAAATGACCGCGGGGGCGGGCGCAGGCCCTTCCAGCGACTGGACGATGACAGCCGTCGAACGCGCGCCGCCGAGGTGCGCGAGCTCCACGACCTCTGGGAGCTTGAAGACGCTCGGATGGCCAGACGCTGGGCCAGGCGCGCAAATGCCACGCAGCCGTGGCAGCGAGTGCATGGCTCGCGCGATCGGCGCGCGGCGGAGGACGAGCAGGGTGCCCCAAATTCTTGAAACCGTAAATGTCAAGCGGGCGCTCCCCTCGGAGGGCCGCGAAGCCGTGCCCGTCGCCGGCCGCGGCAAAAGTGGGCGACGGCGGGGCCACGAAGGCGGCGGCGCATGCCCCCGAGCGGGCCTGGGCAAGCCGCTGTTCGAAGACGAAGTCCTCGGCGAGGTCGAACTGCGCGCCGTTCGCCGCGTCGAGCACGTCCACGGCGCCACCCGCGAGCTCCCTGATCGCAACGTCGACCCCGCCAGCGGGCCAGCGTTGCCGGCTCGCCCAGCGAACGTCAGCAGGAAGGCCGCCGCCACAGGGAGCGACGGGCGGCTCGCGCCGGCGACGGGAGACAGACGGTCGGGCGCGCCGCCACTGGACGCTGCAGCAGCTCCCGCAAGCGGCTCCGCCGACGAGCAGGGCAGAGGGGCTTCGCTCTGAAGAGCGGCCGTTCGGAGAGACAGGTTTTCCCCCGACTCCAGCGACGCCAGCGGATGCACCGCGTGGGGGGCCGGCGTCGCCATCGCATTTAGAGGGCCCGCTCTGCCGCCCGGCCGCGGCGAAGCCTGAGGCGTTCACCAGCGGCCGCTGCCGCCGCACCGCCCCCGGCCCCGGCCCTTGCCTGCAGCCTTGCCTTTCCCACTCTTGGCCCCCCAAAGCGTCGCCGCGGGCTCGCGCGGAGTGGCCGCGGACGCCGTCGGCGAGAAGGCGCCGTGGGCTGGCGAAAAGCACTTGCTGCACTGGTGGACCGCGCTGGGGTCGCGAGGGCACCGGAGCTTTTCCTGCGCGCTCTGGCATTTCCCAGACTGGAAGTCCCAGCGCAAGCGCACGTCGCTCCGATTGCGCGCGTGCGCGCCGTCGGATACCTTGTGAACTTTCACCTGCCTGGGGGCAGATTCTCCCGCGGGCTGGTCACGACGGCGTTGGGGCTCAGGACGGGCCGAAACATCGGCAGCCAGCGCGTTTCCTGGTGGACCCCCCGTGGTCCTGAGCAAGAGAACCAGCTCCTCGAACTGCTTGCGCCAGAACTCCGCGTCCATCGTCACAGCCCGCAAGACGCCGTCCCAAGGGCGCGCCGGATCGAACTCAACTACTAGCGTCTTCCCCAGGGACTGGGCGTGCGCGCAGTCCTGCTCCAGCTTGCGCCGCGTGCTCTCCATGTGACTTTCTTGGCAGCGGACGTCCTCTTGGTAGAGGAGAGGCCACATGTCCGCGCCGTACCGTTTGTCGTGGTCCACAATCTTCCGCGAATAGTCCACGAGAGCGCCCAAAGACGCCGCTTCGAAGCCGATGAGGCAGGCCAGTGAGGAGCAGGCGGTAACTTTTTGACCACGTGCCGATGCCGGGCGGCCCGTGGAGGGTGATTGGCTTCAGGAGGCCGCCTTCGTGCATGGCGAACCCCTGAAGGCGCAGCTTGTGCAACAACTTGTTGTGGAGGCCCCATACCGCGAAATAGACGTAGGGCGCCACGCCCGCGTCCAGGAGGCTGCGGAAGCCCGAAAGTTGTTCTGTCGAACGCTCTTCCTCGGACAAGGGGTCACGCCCAAAGACGGCCCGGAAAACCTTCACGTGCGCCTTGATCTTCTCGCTCGAGAGCGGCTTCACGTTCGCCTCCGAAATATGGGACAACACATTTTTCATCGCGATGACGCCGCCCGCCGAGACTGCTTGCTGAGAGGCTGCTGCGGCAGCCGCCGCCTCTGCACTTGCCCTGGATTGTTCGGTGACCCTGGGAGCATCGTTCAAGGCCCCAGCCTGCTCGGTGATGGGGCCAGGCTCGCACTTTGAGATGACGCGCCAGACCTGGCGTAGAGACTCCGACCTGGAGCCTTTCGAATCCTGTGTCGAAAGTGGCACAGCTGAAGTTGCCGAAGTCGCGAGGGTGGTCCGTGGGGTTGCATATGATCATGTCGAACAACGCGTCCCTGGCCCCACCCGGCACGTCGATCCAGTTCGCGACGGCGGCCAGGGAGCCCATCTCAACAAACTGCTCGTCCGAAGGGAATGCCACATCGCTCCCATGACTGCCCAAGGTGCGAAGCAGAGCGGAAAGACAAAACCTGGCAGAGGGAGCGAAGAGTGCTTGAGCCAAAATGGTCACGAAGCACACGCTCGCCCACCTCCACCATTGCCTCCACACTATGACCTGCACAACCTGCGGCTTTTCCGTCCCGCAACGACATGTCTCCAAAACCCGATCTGTCATCCTCCTCATCATCGTCCGTTCCTTCACTCCTCCCGCAGTCCTCCTCCTCCTTTGTTTCCCCCTCCCCCTCCTCCTGCTTTCGTTTTCCTCATGCTCCTCCTCCGTTTTCTCCTCGTCTTCCTCCTCCCACCCCCAAAATGGTCCCAGGAGGTCGAGCATGACTGAAAATAGCCTTCGACAGACCTCCAAGAGGCCCCGAGACAGCCTCAATATCGCCCAAGATAGCTGCGCATGGCTTAGGGAAGCCTCCGACAGCCTTTCGCCGAGCATTGCTCAAGATAGCCGCCTCCAAGAGGTATCAAAAAAGCCTCCGATCGTGTCTGCATGGGCTGGTGGGGATACTGTTTTCTCGCGAGCGACACAGAGCAACTGCGCGCCGTCAAGAAACGAAACAACAATGCAACGATCTAAATCACGGCCTAAGAAGGAACCACAGCGACAAGGGCGCGCTACGCGGGGCTGGCTGGTGGGCATACGCGACGCGACCAGAATTCGTTCAAGCTCTGGGCCCAAACGTTTGGCCGCGGAGGCACTTGTCAGAAAGGCAGGGGGCGGTGGTGATTCGCCAACGGTGTCTTCGAAAATTGGAATTGGTTCGAACTCGTTGGAACTGTCCCATTTGCGGTCGAGCCCCCCCAAAACCCTCTCCGGCGCAACCACCCCCCGCCCTTATGAAGAGGGATGGAAACGGAGGGGTGTGAGAGCCCCCCGCCCTCTCAATTGGAGGTGCATCCCACGGCGTTCCGCCGGTATCAGTTGTCATCCTTGCTCCCCCTCCACAGCGCCCGGACTCCCTTCAGCCCTTCTCATCCCTAGGGGGCCATATGCGAACCCTACCCCTACCCCCCACGAGTTCTGAGGGGGAGGGCGAGCGAAGAGAACCCCACCCTGCCCCTCAGAAATCGTGGCGGGTAGGGGTAGGGTTCTCATGTGGCCCCCTGTCTCGCTCATCTGGCTCCTCTTTCTGATTCCCCTCCACCGAGATTTCTTGCCCGCTCTGTCGCTCCACCCCCCCACCTGCTCGACCCCCCACCCCCGCAATTCCCTGGTCGCTCCCCCCCTCTGGAGCCGGCCATGGGCGTGATCGAGGCCGGCCACAGCAGCGCGTCGTCCCACGCGCCAGCGTCCCTCGGGGACTTCACGCCCAGGGCCCTGGCCGACCTGGCGCCGCTGGCGGGGGGGGGGCCAAGATGAGACCAGAGAGCTCTCGAGCTGTGATCGCGCAGTCTTTGTTACCGCGGTTGCGCGGTAGTGTTGTGTTACAGCGCGTTGCCTGTTAGTAGCCTGTTAGCGTTCCTGTAATTCCCCACCCGGCAAGGTTTGGGCTGGTAGATTAAAAAAAAGACTCCCCGCCCGCCTTGCACGCCCTGCATCCGCGGCCGCTGGGCCCAACTTGTGCCGTGCTCCCTGGAAATCCCGCCTCATGTCTTCGCCACAATGACGACTGCATACCGCGGCCGCCAGGCCCGAAGTGTGCCGAAACTCTCTGGGGATCCCGCCTCGCGTTTTCTGGTGGGGATCGCTCGCAGCGAAACAATCTAACAACGCCCAGCTGTGGAACGTGGCGCTATCCTCTCGTGAATGCTGGTGCCTGGCCAATCCAACAAGGTGCCCGTGCACCTCATCTGGTTGACGGCTGTGAGGAGGGTGTTTCAAAAACAATCGGGCCTCCACCTGTCGTGGACCACCATCTGCCATCACAGGTGTCACAGGGGTATTGAGGGAGGGCACGAAGGTCCCTGCTCTTCCCTCCTCGGAATATGAACATGCGTTTTGAAGCTTAAATGATTTCACAAGTCCGCGCAGGTTTCATGGGGCGGCGCTAGGTCCCTTCTGTCGGCGCCTCTGGCGCAGCCCTGGGCGCGGTTCGCGCGCCCGGGAAGGAGATCCAGCCCGATCCAAAAAGTCTGCGCGGACCCGCGAAAAAATATGTTCGTGCACTTTTGTTACTCTCCGAGTCCTGCTCCCTGGAGTTATTCCTCTTCATAATCCTTCTTCTCCTCCTCCTCCTCCTCCTCCTCCTCGATCTTCGATCTTCGTCCCTCTAGGTCCCTCGACCCCCCCCATGGACAATGTGGTGAATCAAAGGTGGTCCGGGGTGAGGTGAACGGGCAATTGTTTGACCTGGGTCGGCGGAAACACCCAAAGTCCGAACACCGCACAGCCAGAGACGGGTGAGGTCGCAGTGGGAATTTCGACGACGTCGAGCCACCCCCTCGAGACCCCATCCCTCGTCAATCCTCGATCCTCGGTGATGGTCCTTGATCCTCGAACCTCGCTCGAAGATCCTCGAGCGTCGCGCCTCGATCCTCGAGCCTCGCGCCTCGAACCTCGATTCTCGAGCCTCCAAGCTGAGTCCTCGAACCTTGCGCCTCGCGTGGGCCTGCAGGCCTCGAGCGTCGATCCTCGAGCCTCCATCATGGGCCTTCAACCCCTCGATCCTCGAGACTCGCCCCTCTGGCGGCCCGCCTGTCGTACCAGTCGATGTGCGGCTCGACGATTGCCGACGAGGACCACTCCGCCTCGAGGCGTAGGCCGCCAGATCCGCGCGCGCGAGCGCGCCGTGGAGAGGGAGGGGAGGGGAGGGGAACGAGGGGGGAAGGGGGGAGGGGGAGGAACTTGAAGGAAGGAGAAAGGATCTCGACCTCCGAAGCCCGCCTCCCCACAGCCTGGGAAGGGGGAGAGGTGCAGCTGCGGCGGCGCCTGGATCCAAGGGGCACGGCGAACGTGTCGTCGCCGTTTGGCCCCCTCGCGATTCGCTGCGATCCTGGCCTTCTGGAAGAGGCCAAGGACGAGTGAGGCAGGAGAGGGGGGGAGCGGAGGCGAAGCAGGGGGCAAAGAAGGGACCAAAGGCCAGGAACGGCCGGGCGAAGGCGGCCAGGAACGGCTGGCAGCGGTTCGTTCCAGCGGGGGCCCACAAACGTGCTGCATGAACCTCAAAGGGGGGGCCTCCTGCCATCTTGACGCCGAACGAGTTTCACATGCCTCCCCCCCACCCTCGTTGACGGCCCGATGATGCCAAACGTGTTCTATCCACTCAAGGATGGTAGATTCCCGAATGAGGTTTCCGAGCACGGGATCTAAGGCGATGTCGACGCTGAGCACGACCAACTCGCTCGACGATGCAGCAGCGACAGAATACTCGATATGGCATTGGACGCCCCCATACCGACGAAGCCTACAGAAGATATAAAACACATTGAAAATGGTTCGCTTAATCCGCATAGGCGCCTCAGGTACACAGCCGCGCCTGGACGGCGCATCGGCAGGAAGACTGGCAACGTGAAACACATGAACATTTTAACTGGATTCGCGCAGACGCGACCACGCAGTGCCTCGGAAGCGCACGCTGGAATTCTCTGCCCCAGCGAAGCGCCAGGGCATGCTACAGCACGAAGGAGGAGGAAGAGGAGGAAAGGGAAGAGGAAGGGGGGCAGAAAGATACCAAATGCCCCAGACTCGTATCATCCGGGCGCCGGAGTCGCATCACGATGAAAAACAAAAATCTAAAACAATCGCGTTCCATTACTCCGGCGTTCCACGCAATGGGGCCTGCAATCTGTCGGTGTCGTTTCCTGCCGCAGTCAGGGCTTGAACGCGCAGGTAGGCGTTCCACTGTAAGCGCGGGCGCCCTCTGAGGCGCGGCGTGCCCCGGTCCCTGGGCAGAATGTGGTGGCCTTGCCCAGCTTGAAATACCACTGCTCCGGGCAAGCTGCCGGTCGGTCCCCTTGCCAGCTGACCATAAACATTGACTTGGCGCTGTAATAAGCAAGTTGATAATGGGTATGCCCCCGCTGCCGCCCGCGCATCAGCGTTGCTGGCGCGGGACAGAAAAGCTGGCGCTATTTGAAAAATCTGCCGCAAGCAGTTTGTTTGGAACTGTCAAGTCGATCCCGAGCCGCCGTCAGTAACATGCAGGATGCTAGCCCAAAGAACACTTTACTGTACACGCAAGCTTGCACCCGCAATTGGTGCCGTCGGCTCATATTCGCATGGCTCCATACTGTGCATGATTTCTGAAATGCTCTGCTTGCTTCCCCCAGCCAGCGTGCGAGCTCGAATCCGGCTCTCCCATCTGGGCTTATCATCCGCCCAGATAAACGGCATGTTCTTCGCATTTGATTGCCCCGCCGCTTGGCCCAAACACATTGTCGTTCGATCGCGCTCTCAGTATAATGATCTTCGCGGCGTCCAAGTCAAGACAAAAAAAAACAATCTGCGCAACTGTCGTGGAATTATTGTGGATGGTCGGCCGGGCTTCAGCCGCGAGCATCGCGTCGTCGGCGCGCAAGACGTCGTTTGTGATAATGCACGGCTTGCCCGTGAAATTGTCGCAGTCGGCTTCGCGTTTGCCGCCCGCCACCTCCGGGGGCGCGGACATAACAGCGATGAAGAAGGTCTGGGGGCAAAGGGCATCCCCGTGCGATTCCAGCTTCTTGAACTCGTAGTGAAGATAATAGAATGCCCTTGTTGACAACGAACCGCCGCGCCCTGTAGATCGCCGCGATCACGTCGAGCATCGCCGCGGGCACGCCGAAGTGTCGAAGTACGAACGACAGGCCATCTGTCTTCGTGCGATCGAACGCGTTGCTCCAATCCAGAAGTAAGGTAGTCAGCTCCCCACAATTACCGTCGAGAGCAGCGCCCGCCAGCCTGCGCGCCAAAAACAATGCTTCACAAGTGCCTCTGCCTGGCCTGAATCCACATGGGGATTCGCGCAACCTCTCTTCTGCTCCGCCCTCCATGAAACGATGCAAGACCATGCCGGCGATAATATTGCAGCCGACTGCCGACAGTGCTATGGGTATGTAGTTGCCTGGCTGCGACGCGCCAC